CTGTGGGTCCGTTGCCCGTCTGCCGCTACTTGAGCCGCGGGGCCTGTTACTCCTGTAGTCCGGGCGCTTAGTCCGGTAGCCACTGTGCTCGCCACTCCTGTTGCCCGTGTGTCTGCAGCTTCAGCCGCCACCTTCTATCTCCTCTCCTCTCACTCTCCCTCCTCCTCCTCACTTGCCCGTTGTGACTACCACTAGCTTTGCTGATAATTGTGCACTTTAACTATTGCTTCTTGAACTTGTGCTCAGAATGTGTGGTGACATTGTGATCCACCCTGAGCTTGTACTGCTTTGCCTGCTCTGCTGATTACACCCCACTTTGGCTATGGGGGTGTGTCAGAATATATTTGCTGTCTACCCTGCAGTGGGGTACTCTGTACTGAGTACAACCCAATTTAGGGCATTGTACTTGTATCCCAGCTCTTGCTAGTGAAACCTCTCCTCTTCCAAACCTCTCGATACTTTCCTAACTCTCTCGAACTCGATCACCTAGGCACCTAAACTATGGCTTCTAAGCCTACCTTTGCTTAAGATTCTGAGAACAGAAACCGGCGCCGAGAGTGGAGTAAGAGTCTTGCTGTCGCGGAAGAAGCACTGCGTCGCTCCGGAGTCCAGTGTGAAGGAGAGCGACGCGTCCGCCGAGGGAGCACCTGTACTAGTAGCTAGACAGGATCCTACACCAGCACCTACTCTAGCAACAGGCAAAGATCCTACGCTAGGTACAGGCAAATAAACAGATCCGACAGCACTATAGTCAACATCAGCATACATGGCATAAGACCTAGCATCATCCATAGACATATCAAACAAAGCAACACCACGAGCAAGGAGTGGTCCCCAGCGCGGTGGCGGGGGAGCGGAGGGACCGTGGTGCAGGTCGTCAAGACGGCTGAAGCAGCGTGCAGCAGAGTGGTCAGGGCGGCCGCAGTACGTGCCCCTGCGCGGACCCGTCAGGATCCAGTACTCACAGGGACCAACGTCGCGGCCGGCCGAGCGGGGTCCCCGACTAGAAGGGGCACCACTGCGCCCAGTGCTCGGGGGGCCCGTGGGTCTCCACTGCTGCGGGGGGGCCCACTGCTGCGAAGGGCCCCACTGCTGCTGAGTGCCCCACTGCTGCAGAGTGCCCCACTGCTGGGGCTGCTGTTGAGGCGGACGCTGCTGTTGGCCCTGGCGCTGCTGCTGCTGTCCCTGCCGCTGCTGCTGTCCAGGCGGTGGCAGCTGCGGAGGAGTCTGCTGCTGCTGCTGCGAAAACCCCTCACCACCGTCTAGAGGAGAGCCGTCAGTTCCCGAGTCACCCCCGCCGCCACCCCGCCACTAGTACTACCACCACCGCCGCCACCCGCAACACCCCCAGAACCCCCGCCGCCCTTCCCTCCCTTCTTGCCGGACTTGCCACGTTTCTGTCCGCCAGAGACAGAAACGGCCGCCGTCTCCTCAGAGGCAGAAGACGCGGCAGTGGCAAGCGAGGCAGTGAAGGTGGGAATCTGTGGTACCGCACACCCCTCAAAGAGACGAGGAGGAGGCGCGGAAGAGGCGGAGGCAACAGCGAGGAGGTTACTCTCGATCTTCGAGAGAGCGGTCTCAAGAAGATCGATAGTAAGCTCAGTGGGGTGCTTCAGGAGAAGCGTGTCGCGGGCTATGGCTAGACGATCAGGGAGGCGAGTGACTAACCAGTAAATAGTGAGCCACATGGGGGGGGGTGCAAGGGCAAGCTGTTCCTCAGTGCAAGCGGCCTTGAAGCGAGCTTCAAGGGAGCGCAGGTGGGTAGCGAGGTCAGCAACAGTCTCAAAGGAGGCGAGGTCAGGGTAGATAAAGGGGACGAGGAGGCGGCTGAGGGAGGCAGAGGAGGGAGTGGAGTAGCGAGCAACAATAGCAGTGTAATGGTCTGCAGCAGACTCGACCTGAGTGAAGTGGACAGCCTCAGTCGGCGGGAGAAGGTCGGTCAGGGCGAGGCAGGCAGCAGCGTCACGAGACTCCCACACGTCACGAGACTCCCACACGTCACGAGCGAGGAACCGGCGCTGGTACTCAGCCTCCTGCTCGGAAGTAGGCGGTGGGGTAGTGGGCAGCGGTGAAGGCTGCGGCGGGGCGGGCAGAGCACCGGACGCATGCGCAAACAGGTGCACGCCATCCTGGCGCAGGCTCCTAAGGTGGCGCTGGGCCTGCGTCAGCCAGGTACTAAAGTGGATCGCACGCCCCTCAGGGTCGAAACGGAGCACGCGAGACGTCGCCATGAGGGGCGAGGACAAGTGATAGCGGCCGCCAGCCGCGAGAGGAGGAGAGGGAGGTGAGTGCGAGGCGGGTGCGCGCAGGCGGGGCGCGCACTGGCTGGGCGCGGGGCGGCGGGGCGCGCGCTGGCGGGGCGCGCTCCGGCGCGGCGCGCTGGCTGGCGTGGCGCGCGGGCGCGGCGCGCTGGCGGGCGGCTAAGCAGGGCGCGCGCTGGCGGGCGCGGCGCGCTGGCGTGCGCGCTGGCGGGGCCCGCTGGCGTGGCGCGCTGGCGGGCGCGCTAGCGGGCGCGCTGGCGTGCGTGCTGGCGGGCGCGCTGGCGAGCTCGCTGGCGGGCGCGCTGGCAGGCGAGCCGGCGGGCTCGCTGGTGCGCCCGCTGGCGGGCGCGCTGGCGGGCTGGCGTGCAAGCGGGCTGGCGCGCAGGCTGGCTGGCGCGCTGGCGCGCTGGCTGGCTGGCGCGCTAGCGGGTTGGCGCGTTGGCTGGCTGGCGCGCAGGCTGCTGGCGCGCTGGCTGGCTGGCGCGCTGGCTGGCTGGCTGGCGCGCTGGCTGGCTGGCGCACTGGCTGGCTGGCGGGCGCACTGGCTAAGGGCGGGGAGGGGAGGGGCGCGCCGGCTGGGGCGTAGGGTAGGGCGCTGGCGGGCTGGCAGGGTGCAGTGGTAACCCTAGTGGTAGGGAAGGGCGGGCCTAGGACTAGGAGCGCTAACCTACTGCCAGGGCCTCAGAAGTCAGCGAAAAAAGGCTGATTTAGGGTCTGGACGCTGATTTCCCAGACATATGGCTGATGTGTTGGCTGATAATTCAGTTTTTTTTTAGTTGTGCTGGCTGATTCTTCAGGTTTTTTTTTTAAGTATTGGCTGATTTTCCAGCGTTTTTTTACAAGTGTCCGCTAATTGATCAGACTTGTAACGTGAGTGTAGGCTGAACTCACGCTATTACAGATTCGTGCCAGAGCCGTGTTTTTCGGCTGTCCAGGTACATCCACTGTCAATCACGCAAAAGTTGCCACGTACAGCGCCGACGCGGCGGGAAAACGAATTTCCCCGACGAGTCGGTTGCTTCGTTGTCACCGACAGAATGCTTCAATTGATGTGATTGGTTGTTTAACCAATCACATCCCTTATGCGCCATTCACCAACCACCAGGGCAGCACAGCACAGCACCTGCTAAACTTAATGAACAAAGTGCTTAAACATAGATCAGCCTGCGTTTTTTAGTGAGGCTGATTAGTCAGCGTTTTTTTAGGTGACTTGTCTGAAAAATCAGTTTTTTTTTTTGAACCAACTCTGATTGATCAGCCTAGCGTAGCCTGCTAAGGCTGACGTCTCAGCCAAGCTAAAAACGAATCTGAGGCCCTGCCTACTACTGATACCATGTCAGAATGAGAACTACAGCGGAATGCGTTGTGTTGACAGGATTGGGGTACATCACCTTTCCCTAACTAGTTGTACCCCATATAGCCCAACCCACTACAGGCTATAATATTTGACAATATGTCTTATCTCGCACACACAAATAGGTGTCGTATAAAAAGGCTAGCCTGTTTATAAGAGACACCCGTATAAAAGACAGCCCCTGTCTACTATTCAAACTGTCTTATATCCGAGCGATGGCGGTATCAAGATCCTATCCTGGTAAAACTAGTGAGAGGTTTTGGGTTTAGGGGAATTTTCAGTGGGAGGTTGATATGACGTTCTCTTGATACGAGGATAGGGATGCGCTCTAATGGTAGGAAATCAGTCAACGAGGAATAAAAAGGAGAAATATGACTAACAAAGCAAAACTTTTCTGACTGATCCAACCCTAAAATAAACAAAAGCAAGAAAAGAAAGCACTCACATTCAAGGTTGATATTCGAGTCAAGGCTAGCACACTTAACCAAACATACTGGCATCGCAAGGCATGTACATGCTTGAACACGGCAGCATGAAGGATGCATGGCTGCATGTCTATGTATAGTGGGCTGGACGCGTGTCAAGGCATGCATGAAAACAACGCAACCAGAAACTTAAGTGCACTGTGTGGCTCATGACTGGCATGTGTCGGATGTGCATGTGAGTGCGCCACAGCTGCACGTGCCAGGTGAACTGGTATGAATGAACGGGGAAAACAGAGTGGAAAGATGCAAAGCTGCTGCTGAGCCATGCAAGGTCAAAGCCTTGAAGCAGATACATGCCATATGCACATGTGGAACAGACGAGGGATGATTGCCGGCAATGGCAGTGGCAGCAGCAGCAGCACCAGTGCAACCATATTTAGTATGCACAGGATGTACACATTTGAGCAGACGCCGGTAAGACTCGTAGGCGCGGAGAAAGGAAACCGGCTTCGTCAGACTGGTGAAAGCGGGGACGCGGAAACGGCTCGACAGACTGGTGGATGCGGGGACACGGAAATGGCTCGACAGGCGACGAATGCGGTAAGGATGCAGGTGTCACAGACAACTCCGCTGACAAACAGCCAGTGTAGTTGCAGCGTTGGTGAAGGCGGGTGGGTGGGTGAATGCAGGGTGGAGCAGGCAAGGGGTTGAGGGCGGGTGGTGTGTCAAGGCGGGTGGGTGACAGCGGGAGAGCGAGCGTGGGAGGAACTGGGAAACCAAAGGAAGGTTCAAGGCCTGCAGCGTGGAGCACTCAGCCTAGCAGAGAAGCACCGGGTAGCACTGAAGCCACAACACAGAACCACTGTGAATCACAGAGCCACACTATCACTTGGAGAGTGAACTGGCTCAAGGCAGAAGCAGCAGCAGCGGTGGCGGCGGCAGAAGCTGAGTCATTCGGAGTTAACAAGTGGGTGCGGTAGAGAGCAGGGCAGAGCGGCAAGCAGCGTCTGTGGCTGGCCCGAGACCCCTCAACGCCTCCCCTGGCGCCTGAACAAATACTCCAGCAGCAGCAGCAGCAGCAGCAGCAATAGGAGCACCAGCAGCTGCTGGACCCACGCCGTCACCACCAGTAGCAGCACCACCGCCAGCAGCAGCAGCACCCCCGGTAGTAAACTGTGCACCTGCCACCATCGCCTGACCCATCATGCCCTTGCTCCTCTTCACCTCCCTCCTCCGCTTCCGCGCCTCTGCAGCTGCACTTCCCATGCCCACAGCCACTGGCCCCATCACACATCCTCCTCCCACTCCTCCCAATCCCACTCCTCCGGCCACTGCTGACGAAACCGGCATGATAGGAGGGCGAGGGAGAGGAGCAGGCCAGGGGCATGGCATTCGCACTCCCCCTGGAAGCAGCACCACCAGCGGCTCAGGCATGGGCGCTGGCTGGACACGCACACCAGGGATGGGCATGGGGGCGGGGATACGGACCGGGGGAGGCACAGGGAATGCTGTGGCGTGTGTGAAAGCGGATTCCGTCTTGATCTTGGCTCTAGTGGCGCTCTCGCCTGGTGTGTGGGGTGGAGAGGGCCGTGGGCTCGTGACTTGACTGCTGCCTCCTGAACTTCCTGCTGCTGCTGCTGCTCCTCCTGCTGCTGCTGTTGCTATCCCTGCTGCTCCTCCTATTGCTGCTGCTGGAACTTCAGTTGCAAACACCCCAGAACCAGGAAAAAAGGACTGTGCGGGCTGCAGAACCCGTCCCACATCGTCTCCCCCCTCGTCCCGTGCCCGCTTCTTCCCACCAGGACTTGAAGCCATGGCACCGGGGGAAGACGGGGACGATCTTACAGCCTCCACAGCAGAGGCTGCTCCTGTTGATAACCCACCTGCTGCTGCAGTCGGCGACAATGAGCCGGATGCTCTTTTCTCCCAAGACGACGACCTGTTGTTGGTACCAGCAGCACCAGCTGAAACTGCCAAGAAACTGTTGTTACTCTCGAGTACGGAATTATCGACAAATTTACCAGCGGCCACGCTGCAACCTGTGGCGCCAGGAGCGGCGGCAGCAGCGCCGGCTGCTGCTGCTGTTAGCAATGCTCCTGACGCACCAGAGGAGGGGCCGGCTGGGGGTGAGGGGCGCGGAGTGGGGGGAGGGCAAGGCGACACCCCCGACTTGCGTGAAATGGGGCGGATGGGGAGACTGAACGCCGAGTTGCGGCTCCGAGAAGCAGCAGCAGCTGCCGCCGCCGCCGCCGCAGCAGCAGAGGCTGCTGCAGCTGCGGCATCTGGCACGGCATGGAACGGCGGCGTTGCCACATGATGCTGCTGCTGATGGTGCTGCTGCTGATGATGATGATGTTGAGGATGAGGATGCCCCGGGTGAGAAGAGGGAATGGGCATGTGACTCCTGGAGATCAGAAACTGCGAGCGAGCAGCCGCAGCGAGGATAGACGGCGGAGGCACAGGGAAGCCAGGAGGCAGGGGCATGAGCCCTATGGTCGATGCCCCAGGGAGAGTGGAACCGGTACGGAAGTGAGGAAAAAGCCTGGACGTACCAGCACCAGTAGCAAACGCAGCACTAGAACCTGAAGCAGCAGTCGACACAGCAGCAGCAGCAACAGCGGCGGCAGCAGCAGAAGCAGCAGCAGTACCCACCGCCCCCCTTGGGGCCAGAACTGCCGGTGCTGCTACAGCAGCTGATGCCCCTCCTGCTGGTGCTACAGCTACTTGCGCCCCTGCTGCTGCTGCGGACTGCAGTGCTCGAGCCTTCAGCCTGCTTTGAGCCTTCTTGGCAACTCGGGGAACCCCATTAGCACCACCAGCGCTGCCACCACTGGTACCACCACCCCCTCCTGCTGCTCCTGACGATACCCCGCCACTTCCACAACCGCCCCCTCCAAATGCAGTACCCCCTGAGCCGTCTGAACCGCCTGCACCTCCTGAGGCGCCTAAGCTGCTGTTTTCCACTCCTTCCTTCCCAGCACCAGCAGCACCGCTCAAGAGAGAAGATCCGGCGGCAGCAGCAGACGCAGCTTGCGCAGCAACGTCTGTACCACCACCCCCAGAGCGACCTCCTGTGGCACCAGCGGCAGGGAAGCTACTGGGAGGGGAGGGCCTTAGGGTAGCACGGCGAGGCTGTTGCTTATTCACATCATGGCTGAGTTTTGTGCCGGCAGAGGCAGTGGCGGCAGCAGAGGCAGCGCCAGTGGGAGGGGAGGTGCGACGAGCCAGCGCGGAAGGGTGCACGTGGGGGGGAACAGAGAAGAAGGAGGGTGGGAAGTAAAAGGGGAAGGGCGACGGCAGTTGTTGCTGCTGCTGCTGCTGTGACAGCGGCTGCTGCTGCACTGGCAGCAGTGGCTGCTGCTGCTGCTGGTGGCGGTGGTGGTGGTGAAAGGGAGTTGGGGGGAGGAAGAGCGAGGAGGGGGGAATCATAGACAGTGGCCGAAGAGAACTCGCCGAGAGTGAAGGAGCAGAGGATGAGGAGAAAGTCAGGGGGGTAGACACGGACTTAACAGCTGCAGCAGCAGAAGACGCATATGCACAGACAGAAGCGGGAGCGGATGCAGATAATACTGCTGCTGCTGCCGAGGTTGAGATAGCAGCAGGAGAGGAGGGGGCAGCCCCTGAAGAGCCCTCAGGAACAACAGCAACAGCTGGTGGCAGCTGGGTCTGATTCGTTGCAGTAACTGCAGGAACTGCAGCACCAGCAGAAGCAGCGGAAACGGCTTGCTTCTCCTCGTTATCAGCTTCCCTAGTACCAGCTTCTGTGCGCACTGCAACCGCACTGCCCCCATCGCTATCCACAACACTCCCCCCACAACCATCACCAGCAGCAGCAGCAACTGCGACAGCACCAGCCTCAGCAGCAGATGCAGCAGAACGCAATACCACACCACCAACCAAACCCTGCCCTGTACCCGTTGCGCCCTGCACGCCTGGAGCCGTAGCAGCAGCAGCAGCTGTAGCAGCAGTCACGCCAGTCGTGGCAAGGGCGGCAGGGGTGGCAGCACTCGCGGATTGCAGAGGAACGGGCGCAGGCGGGGGGGAAATATTCACCCAAGCAAGTGGTGCGAGGGGGGCTGAGCGGGAGAACCAGGCGGGGGCGCAGGGGCCTGCGGGGAGGCCCTTGTGGAAGAGCGCGGGGAGGGGAAGCGCGGATGAGCGGAAGAAGGGCGGGAGGGGCAGTCTGGCGGGATGGCATGCCCAGGGCGGGGGAGGGGCGAACGGAGAGAGGAACGGGGGGAGGGCGGGGGGGCAACGCCCTGCTGCTGGCGCCGCTGCTGCAGCTGCTGCTGCTGCGGAGGAGGAGGCGGAGGTGGGCGGAGGAGAGAAGGGTGAAATCGCTGCAGTGTCCTGTTGCAGTTGCTGTGGTTGATGCTGTTGAGGCGGCGGAGGAGATTTGTTGAGATGATGCGCCTTGGCAGTCACGCATGCCGGCAGCTCAAGGCCATGGAGAGTCATCTGGTTGGGAGAACAACAAGGGCATGCGATGCAAAAAGGCGATTGAGAAGGAGGTCAGAAAAAAAGAGAGAAAAAAAAAGGGGGGCCTGGTGCAGGTTTCTAGCTCACCAAGGTGTTTCTTTATTTTCCTAATCTAGTTAATCCATTTTCTGTTCCGTTCCTCCAGGGAAAGCCAAAGACCAGGGCAATACAAAAAAAACCTTAGTTCCTACAGGACAAGCGGACATACCTGTTGCAGCAGGTGCCTGTTCTCGTCCTGCACAGCCTTCCACGTGGCACGCGCTGCTGCCAACGCCTGCGCAGTGACGCGGACGGGAGAAGAGTGCACAGGCGAACAACACAGTCAATCAACTTGCACAGTGATCAACACATGACCTACTGTGGGAGTGGACGCGAACAGTGAGCCACGTCTCATGACTCGCCTCGCCTGCCCCACGCGAATAAGAGAACGACGAGACTCGACACGGCACTAAAACGCTTTAGGTATACGCAGGTCCGGACGCTAACAGCAATGCGCGTCAAGGAACCAATGCAGTGGTATCGATTACGCGAAATCTGGCTTCTATTTCAGCGACGCGAAATTTCTTTAACTGCACATTTCCTTTTTCTTTTTTAGTTGATTGCTCGCAAACAAGCTGCATCCGCTCTCAAATTAATAATTGATCATTTCCCGAGTTCTGGCAGGCTCGTTTTGTTCATAAAACAAAAAAACCACCGCGCCATGCCGTTATGCCACCATGTTCACATACCATTATGCTGTCATGCCATCAAGCCATCCGAACCCACTCTCACCTCTCGTAACCGCTTGTTCTCCTCCTCCTGCGCCTGCACCGAACGAGCCAATTCGTCCGCCGCCTGCACAAGCCACGCGCGCAACCCACGCGTTAAACTCCAATCCACGCACGACGGCACAAGGGAAAATCAAGTTGCAATGCCAAAATGCGACATGGAAGAAACCCGAGTGTTTGTGTTAGAACGACGGACAAGCTCCGGGAGGCGCTAAGGAGAGAAGCGCGCACCTGCTCTGCGGGGGCAAGGAGAGGGCCCTCAATCGACCCGTGAGCGTGCTTAGACTCGCAGAGACCCTGCTCATGCTCCTGGATCATGCGCGCGCAGCGAGGAGGGCGGAGAAAACGGGGGGAGCGGGAGGGGAAGGGGACGATGGGATAGGGGGACGAGGGGGGGGGGAGAAGTATATGATGCATACACGAAAGAGACGGGCAGAGGAGCGAGTGGGCACGCGCGCGCGCGCGCGTTTGAGCAGACAATGAGTCCGCGTTGAAACGAAACGGAAGGGAAATGTAACTCGGAGCCAGAAGCCATTCGCAGACAGGAAACAATGGCCGCGGCAACGGTGATGGTAACGCAAATGCTAAAGTCAACGACGACGCCGACGGGAAGAACACCGACGTTTACGGAGGACGGAACGAACAAGCAAGCCCGCAATTCGTATTTTTCGTTCCCCAAGTTCGCAAGCGCACAAGCAAGCAACCACGCGAATATGCGAGAACACGCGCGTACCTCGAGTTGCGGCGTTTCCTGGCTCTCCGTGACCTCAGACGGGTTGCCGCCCGCATCATCCGACGCCTCTCCAGACACTCCGTCGCACGGACCCTCCAGCATGGTGGTAACCGGGTTACAAACGGCCGGCTCTTCGTCACCAGACACTTCGTAGTGCGGAACAGCCGCACCTCCTCCACCACCGTCACCACCACCGCCACCACCACCACCACCAATACCACCATTACAATTCACAGCAGCTACAGAAGCTGCAGCAGCAGCAGCGACGGCGGCGGCGGTGGCGGCGGCGTGACTGGGAGCAGCAAGGCTGAGAGCAGCAGCGGTGTGATTGCGATTTTCAACGAGCACTCCCATACGGACGTCCTCTGAGTCGTCCGCATGCCCCTCGTGAATGCACACCACGGGCACCACAGCCACTTGGTTCAAAGCGCAGCTATCCGGAAGCAGACCCTGCACCGCCACCTCCAGCGTCGCCCCGTCGCCCAGCTCGTCGCCCAAACCGTCGCACAGGCCCCCCGCCAACGTCTGCACCACCGCGACCTCGCGCGCAACCTGCTGCGCGACTACCCGTGCGATTTGCGCGATCCCGTGCGGGAGCAATCCGGGATCTCCTCTCGTCGCAGCAGTCGCAGCCTCGGTCGCAACGTGCGCCTCAGTCGCAGCAGCCTCAGCATCAGGCATGTCCGCGTCTTCGTGTGACGAAACGCCTTCACCTTCGCTGTTCCCGAACTCTGTCTCCGCCTCAGCATCACCATACCCCACTCCGTTCCCATCCACCGTTGCTTCCACCGCCGTCACCGCCGCCGCCGCCGCCGTCGACGCCGTCGTTGCAATCGCCGCAGGCGCCGCTGCAGTTGCCAGCAACGGCAGCGCCTCGCGCGAGGCGCTTCTCTTAAACTGCAACAGATTCTCCACCATTTCCTTATTCTCCTCCTCGTCCTCATCCTCCTCCCCATCCGCACCAGCGTTCCCAACGTATACAGCGTCCCCTTCATCAGCCATCACCACTTCCCCCTGGTCCACCACCCATCCATCTCCCCCTCCCCGCCCCGCGGCGAGCTCACCCAACCCTTGCTCCTCCTCCGTCCTCACGCTCTCCTCACCCCTTTCCACCTCACGCGCCTTGGCACGCAGCAGCGCAGCGCAACCTCCGTTCGTTGCACGCGCGTCCGCAGTTGGCGACACGCACACTCCGAGCCCTTCAGATACTTCCGCCGCAGACAATTCCGCAGCAGACAAGTCCGGCGCGGAAAACAATTCCGGCGCTCCGGCGGCTTGCGGGACACGAGCGGCCTCGGTTGATTCATCGACGAATTGGGTAAAAAGCGGAGCCCGCAATTGAGCGTCCGCGTAAGAGACGACGGTACCGACGGCATCACCGTCAATAGTAGCACCAACCGTAGCAGCATCAGTTGCAGCAGCGTGAAGAGACATGTCAGCATCATCGTTGTCATCGTCACCAGCAGTAGCAGCGCCAGCAGAAACAACAGCGGCGGGATTCGTTGGAGCAACGCGCATTGGGCCGACAGGCACAACCACCGTTCCACCAGCGCTACCGGCACAACCATAATCACCACCTGCCCCCACCTCAAGAGTCACCACCACATTCGAGCCGTCGTCGCCTCCTCCGCTCGCGCCGCTCCAGCCACGGAAACCAGCGTAACTAGTAGAAGCTTCTCCGGCCTCTTTCGCGTAGCGGCGGCCCTCGCTCCACGAGGAGACGCGCACGTTGCTCACGACGTTGCCGCCGCTGCCCGGCGCGTGTTGCCCAGATAACAGCAGCGACTGCTGCTGATGATGACGATGCTGAAACTGATACAGATGCTGCTGCTGCTGCTCTTGTTGTTGTTGCTGCTGCTGCTGCTGCTGCTGCTGCTGCTGCTGCAGCTGCTGCTTCCACGCCCCAGCCTCTGGAAGGCAGAAGTGCTCGCTCACCACGGGTGCCACCACGAGCATCGCGCCCAGGGAGAACTCCTGAAACAGGCCGAAAGAACCGCGACTCAAGTTAGGCGAGGAGACATCAGACGCGCCAACAAAACTTGGGAAAGATATGAAAATTGTTATATTTTGTAAATAAATGTAGGTCATGCAGTTGAGAGGCAACTATATGTCATGCAGCCTTGTTCAATTACGCGTTCAGTTGCACTGGTGAATATTACTGGAAGGTGTGTCAGAATTGCTTTCCAAGCGCAGAACGATGACTGTTCCAGAAGAGAACATACATAAATCAATTAAAAAAAACATGGAATTAATACAATTCCGCACCTTGTGTTCTGTAGCCGACGCATCTCGAAGCCGACGACTGTAAGAACCAGCACCAGCAGCGGGCGCCGAACTACCACGTCCGCGGTCCTCCACCGACGAGGCGGCGACAGCAGCAGCAGCAGCAGCAGCAGCCGCCGCCGACGCAAGCTTGCGATCGCACAGGTCCCGCACGAGGCGAATCACCAGGTCGTTCCTCGACCGCAGGTTGCGCGCGCGACGGACTCGGCTCGCCGTCCTCTTCCTCTTGGTGAGCCACCGCGTGGCGTCCCGCACTGCACGCATGGAAACCCTGTCGCCCTCGTCAGCAACGCGCACGTGCTTCCCACGCAACGAGCTGAAACGACCAGCACCAGCACCATCACCATCACCAGCAACCACACCAACAGCACCGACACCAGCACCGACACCAGCACCAGCATCATAATCGAAACCATCACCAACGCTCACGACAGAGCCAGGATCCGGAAACACAATTCTCGGTGGTACGTTCTGAAACACGCTCTCCGCGTCCGCCTTCCTCGCGTTCAACTGCTCGTGCTCAATCCCGCCGATTAAACTGCTCGAAAACGTCTCCTTCAACGCAGTCTCGCTCGCCGCTTGCCTTTCCACGGACACGGACCCGTCGGAATCTTCGAATTCTCGGGAACCCCCAGAGTCTCCCGAGCACAGACACACTGTTCCGATGGTGGCGAGCGCTCTCGCTGCGTCCAGCTCCGCATAGACAAAATCAGCCGCGTCCTCCACTCCCGTGTTCACTCCCACTCCCACTCCCACACCCACACCCAATCGACTCAACTGACCTTTCCCGGATTGAACGGCCGTTTCGAGTCTCGACACTTCCGCGCTGATTCCCTCTCCCGATACGGCCTCGACTGCTGTAACCACCGTGGAACCGACCTGACGGTGGTGGCGCAGACCCACGCTCATGGACTGTCGGATACCCATCGCGATGCCGGACACTCTCCCGGACGAATCCCGTAAGATCTTTTTACTGTATACAGTGGACGAATTGGAGAACAGCGAGCCTTGGCTCGCATGCGGAACCAGTTTCTTCAGACCAAGCGACTTGGCGTGAAGAGATATAGACTTGGCGTGAAGAGCAAGCGCCTTTGGGGTAAGTTTCCGGGATCGCTTCCATCTTGAAGTTCCCGGATCTGCACCAGCGACGGATTGAGACGGCATGAGGGCTGCCGTGGAGAGCATGTGCTCGAGCATGGCTTCAAAATGAAGGAACTTAATAAGGCCTAATAAGCGGCAAAATGGAGGACACGCAAGTGACGCGCCCGTGGGAGAGAACCTATTCACAAGGGAGAGTATTAACGCGCTTTGTACAGTCTGAGATAAGAGCGACACTCGGGATCCTGGACAGATCTTCGAAGTAATAATTCCCTTAACTCGCAACGCCGGGGGAGACTACTTTTAAAACGACGCCGACTCTCCTGAGTGGCGATTATCTGATTGCAGAAACTAGTGCGCGGTAACGGGACGCCGAAAGCGACAGCAGAAGGTAGAGATCCAAGGCACCGGTGGACAGCAGCACAGTCCGGAAAGACATCTTCACAAGCGAGCACCGCGATCTGCATAGAGCAAGGCGAGCTGGAATAGCTGTGTAGAGCGCAAACGACCCCGGCTTCCCAACACCTAGGACAACAAATGACGGCTAAAATGAGCAAGGGTTTGGTAAAATGTAGGCTGAGTGAGAGTGGGAAGCAAGGGTCGGTTGGGCTACTGGTTTGGGTGGAAGAAGAGATGCAAGTGATCAGGCAGAAACAGGGAAGGCTTGGTGAGGAGAGGATGCGGTGCGGAGAACTGCGCAGGTTTTCTGAATGCTACAGAGGATTGTAGAGGGGTTCGGGAGAGTCTACAGTAGCCGAAAGGGAGGATGGTAGCTTAGGGGGTGTGTGTGCACTGCGTGGTCCGTGGGTTTGGGTGCAGCTCACTCATCTTCAGCACAAGGGTCTTCGATCTGATCTGAACGCAGCCTCGGTGGGGGCACTTTAGGGTATTGGCCCCTGGGAACGCCGCCGCCTTGAGGTTTGGTGAACGGCTACCCGCTTAGGGTTTCAGAAAGCAGGTGGTTATTGACGATCGCCGAGGCTGTAGGCTTGCAAAATCAGGTGTGCGGTGTGATTGTCTGGGAGACGGATGTGATTTGTGGAGGAAACCCCAACAGTCAGGGGGGGGAAGATGACGTGGCTGAGTGCTTGGAGGAGTTTTGGCTGGCCAGATGCAGAAACACCCGCCAAGGCAGCCGATTGGTCAATGATGTTTGGAAGGTGGTGACGCTCCTAGTCAGCGTGGTCTCAAATGCGAATTGATGTATGACACATGGAATAGAAGCACCACTGGTCTGGGAGACCCTCTCAGCTCACGTGGACCTGACAGATAAGCGGGAGGCTGATATGCGTGGCAATTCGCCAACACTGCACCATGGGTTCGACATCCACGAGGGCCGGCAGCCACATTGGCAGCCTCTGTCACAATTGGGGTGTGGATAACCACCGTGAGCGTCAGCAGTGGGCAAACCAGATCAGAATCACAGACCCACCTGAACACGCAACCATTCAACAGAACACGTCACTTGCCGAATTTACAGATTTTCTCCCAATGACAGCCCACAAAAGAATGCTGTACAGTAGGTCGGGTCGCTTCATGCGCTAGCAATTCATGAGGCTGGTGGCGAGCAGCGGTTGAAAACGGTGAATCATCGTACCGCTAAAACTCGCACACCATCTAACTAAGAGCGTGTCCGAAGTGAAGCGTCGAATGGATGTCAGTGGATGTCGGTAAATGTAAACCCTCGGATCGAGAGTTCCAACCGTCAAGATTTACCGACATCGGATGGCAACGGATGTCGTCTTCACTTCGGACCCGCCCTAAATCGCAATAACTGACAGGAAGCGAATTATCTGTTGCCCAAACTTGAGCATTCTGAACTTCAACAAACCTGCCCCTCCCATAAAGGGGAAATCCTAGCAAATCGCCAATAAGCTAATCTTCACCGTCAGTACATACAGGTGGCACGCACTGCTTAGCTGAATCCAATTTGGCACATCGAGGCGATACGACTTGCTGAAATGCAATTTCCAATTGGAGATATTCTAATCATTCTTCTCCACGTGCGGTGCTTTGACGTAAGCTCCACATGGGCTTTGCATCTACCATGCCACCTCATCGAGCGGCTGCCACAATGAAACACAATGATGCATATGGTAATGATTCGTTACAATGGGCCCGGAGATGGCATTAACTTGCACAAGCTACGGTGGTCTTTGACTAGAAATACATATTAGTAAATAGTAAGCTAACTCTTTGTTGCATGGACCTTGATTTGTGTGAGATATGATACACTGACGTTCTGAATAAACTGTAACGAGTATTTTATCCAGAGGCTCTGGGAATGTATGTTGAAGACAAATATAGTTATACAGTCATGGTCTAAGGAAATTTCCATTTCCTTACGCCACATCCTTGCTTGGCGCGTACATCACTGTAGTACCACAGTCAGCGCCATTACCACTCGCGACCCTCGCTACGACAATCCTCCCACCACCTCGCACATCGCAACCCAGCCTCCCGGCTCGGCTGGTAACCCGCGCTCCGGGCCTTCGCCTTGACACTTTCATGACCCCAGTCATAGGCCCGTCGCGCGTCAACCACGGTTCGTTACCGTTACGGTACCACTGTGGCATTCGCTATCTAGTCACCGCTCATTCCTTCGCTCATAGTACTGTTTTGCTTCAATAGTGCAATTCTCGCTCTCTCGCTCAATTGCACTCGTAACACTTGATATTCAGGGCCTACGATCTTCTCTCAGACCGGCATGCTGTCAAACATAATAGTTTAGGAGCCTAGGGTTTGACCTTGATAGAATTACTAGCTAGGTGAGGATGTCGATTAGGTAAGGGAGGGGGATACAAGACTATCGAGAGTGAAATGTTATACCCTCTAACGAAAGAACCCTACACAACCTAGAGTGAAATGAACAAAACAATATATGTTTTGACACACCCCCATAGGTGGAGGAGGGGATAGCCAAACCTAACAGTGGTCACAAGAACAGTCAAGCAAGAGAACAAGCAAGGCAAAGCTTATGGTGGATCTCAAGGACACCACACAATCTGAGCACAAGTAGGCGGCCACAAGGCCAGTTCACATGCAGAGTTATAATAGCAAGGTAGTACACTGATCACAACCTACCAAGAGTAAACATGCAGGTATAAAGATATATAGCAGTGTACAACAACAGCAAGTCAAGCAACCAGTAGGTGAGGTAGAGTGGGCACAAGCCCAAGAGCAGTGCTGAAACGCTGATGATCACCAGACCCAAGGGCCTTGGTCAAGACATCAGCACTGTTGGCCCGAGAGGCCACGTAAGCAAGGCGCAGCTGACCACGCTGTTGCAGCTCACGCGCAAGGAAGTAGCGAAGAGCAATGTGCTTCGTTCTGTGCTCCAGTCTCTGCTCGCGAGACAAGGCAAGCATTGCCTTGTTGTCGATGTACAGAACTGGAGGAGAAAGAGGCCGCTCCCCAAAGTCGATCAACAGGTAGGTCAGCCAGCGTAGCTCCTGTGCAGCCATGGCCCCAGCGTAGATATCGGCCTCACAGCTGGAGCCAAGCACAGAAGAAGAACGAGTGGACCTCCACGAGATAGAACCAGAGCCAAGACTGGAGGTGTAACCCTGTGACGAACGCAGAGTCGGCTGGTCGTCGGCCCAAGAAGCGTCAGATTGTCCTGTGAGTACCACTGAACCCTGTCCTCCAAGCACGAGCCCCATGTCACATGTACTGCACAAGTAACGCAATACCCTCTTCGCAACATCCCAGTGCACCTTTCGGTGTCTACCAGGTGCCACGTAGCGAGCCAGAAGGCTGAGAGGGTACGCGAGGTCAGGTCGAGTGCACGTCATCAGGTACATGAGGCAACCCACAAGCTCTGGGTACGGACCACTCGGCTCTACGGACTCGTCCGAAGGTGGAGCTGAGAGCGAGTGGCCGGTAGACAGAGGAGTGGGCTGTGGCGAGGAGAACTGGAAGCTGAAGCGTTGAAGGACCTGGTGCACCATGTGTGATTGAGTCAGGGTGATGGTGCGCCGTGCTCTGTTCCGGGTGATCTGCAAGCCAAGGTAGCTCCGCAGCTCACCCAGGTCAGTGCCGGTGTGTCTCTCTTGTAGCTCCGCCTTCACTAGGGCCAATGCCTCAGTGTCAGCAGTAGCAAAAACCAAGTCGTCAACATACACGAGGATGTAGAGCGGCGGCAGAGAAGTGTCGGTGCGTAGAAACAGCGACGGGTCAGCTGTCGAAGGTGCAAACCAAAGAGCCGCATGTGTCGTCCTCAGTGTTTCGTGCCACTCGCGGGGCGCCTGACGCAGGCGGTACACTGGTCGCTGTAGGCTCCACTGGGTACCCTCAGGAAACGACTTAGTGAAGCCCGGTGGACGGCGCAACTAGATGGCCTCGTGAAGGCTACCCTGTAAGAAAGCTGTCGAGAAGTCGAGAGAGTGCAACTCGTAGTAACGCTGAGCTGCAACGTGTAGCAACACCCGAAGAGTGGTCATCTTCGGGGTGGGGGAGAAGGTCGGAAAGAAGTCGACCCCCTTACGCTGACTGAAGCCTCGAGCAATGTAACGTGCCTTGAAGGCAGGCGGAGAACCTGGCGGCCGCTTCACCCTGAAGATCCACATGCCACTGATGATGTTCGCCCCAGGTGGGGGAACCTCTTCGATGTAGGTGCCTGTGGACTTCCAGGAAGCCATCTCTGCGTACATGGCTGTCTGCCACTGAGAGGAGTACTCACCCGAAATCGCCTCCCTGTAGGAGCGCGGGGTGGGGATGTCAAGTGCATCCGGATCTCCCTCAGGGGCAAGCAGCATGGTCGCGTGAAGGGGTGAAGCGGCAGCAAGGTGCTCCTTGTGTCTGTCCTCAAGAACATCACAGCCAAGGGT